GGTGAAACCTCCCTAATTTCATTACAATCAACTAAGAAGAAGATAATAGAAAATCATTACAATCAAATCCACACCCACACTGAGGGCACTCTGCAAAATTATTGATTGAGAAATCGGCAGAGGCGATCCCCACTGAGAATCGAAGGTCATTACCATCATGAACCAGTTCCACGATATTAAGCCACAGCAGAATCACCTTAACTTTAACACCCTTCAAGTTGTTGATTCTATCTTTGGATATAACGCCTGTGATTGTGGAACTGTACTCCAGCTCATAAGAATCAACGGAAAAGCTGCAAGTCTTGTTAATATATGCTGAAAACTCGCCAGTATCTCTGTTCAAATCATAGCTCGTTACTCCTTTAGGAAGAATACCCACCGGGAAGTCGTATTCTTAAATAACCTCATATGCAGACGGATTACTGTCGCTTAAAGCAATTGGGGCTGTGAAGGAGATCAAAATGAACAAGGTTAACAAACCCATCTCGCTCTCTCTTTCTTTCTTTCTTGATTGTAGTTGCTTAGTTGGTTTTGCATTAAATGAATTTTATGATTTCGGTATACATTGATGGAGGCCGTTTTGTCACAATTGTTATTCAAGTCAAGGTTTTAATTGCATTATATCCTTGATATTTTCTCGCTCAAGATACAGTAGTATCTTAACCATATCCAACCGATCTGTTTTGACAGTTTGTAAAGAGCTGAAGCTTCCACGTAGTATTACAAGTTATTTCTGCTGCACTGATTAACCATAAATATGTGTAAATTAAAGCCAAGTAAAAGTAGATAGGCTTGGAGAAAGTGAAATTAAACAATTGACAGGCTGATGAAGTGAAAGACGAAACGGATGTGGATGCGGTGGAACTGGAAGGGGCATCTGTGATCACGCATGCAGGGCTGTAAGCAGATGGTGACAGCTCTCCAATTTAAGATGCTCTGTAACAATCAAATCACACATTAGTACAGACAAAAGAATTATTGATATTTTCAGCCTCTCCTTGTTAAAAATAAACCAATACCCCACTCTTCACCCAAATCAAACCTCCAATTTTGTTCTTTTAATGATAGAGCAAACGACATGTTCGCACCCAAAGATTGGCGAAAAGACAAATTTCCACCCCTAGTTTCATTTATTCCAGACCCCCACCCACAGAGTCAATGAACTCCATATATATATATATATATATAGGGTTACAATTACCAAATTACCCTCCCTCCTCTTTCTTCTTCTTCTTCATCTAACCCTCCCGATCTCCATTGCCATTGCCACCACCTAGCCACCGTTGGTTGTGGCTTTTTTACAAACAGATGCTGGGCGCCGGTGGGTTAGTGAAAAATGGCCAATTTTTCAACAATCTAATCTCCCAAAATTCAACAAATCAACTCCAATCAATAGCCAAACAAACTACACTCAAACAACTCTAAAAATCAAACCAAAGCAACCAAAAGTGAAGAACAGAAAGTTCCTTCGCCACTCCCGTCGCACACCTTCGCTACTCCCGTCGCCGTCGGCGACTTTTGAAGTTCTCCCGCAACAACCCCACCCAAAACCAGCCCCCCACCTTTCCTTTTCCGCCGCAAACACCATCCACCAGCCGCCGCAAAACCCATTTGCGAACGACAGTTCGCCTGACGCCTGCGCGCGCGGAGAAGGCCGTTGCGCCTCCTCTCCTCGCACCTCCCAGTCGTCCTCCAGCACCCCCTGTCAACCTCCTCGCCCAGTCGCCGTCGAACTCATCTCGTGCGCCTTCGCGCGACAGGGTCTTTTTTTCGGGTTGAGATTTGATTTGAGAAGTTGATTGAATGCAGTTCGTTGGGATTTTGAAGTGTATTCGTGTTGTTAATGTAAGTTATTGGTGTTGGTGGTGGCGGTGGAGTTGGAGACGGAGAGGAAGGGTTGGCTGCAGAAAATTTTGAGATGGATAGGGTTTATTACTTTTGGAAATAAAAAACTTAAATACCTCTTTAACCACCGTTATATTAAAAAATTTGTTAATACCGTTATATTAAACAACTTTTGATAATTTAAAGGTGAAAATTGGGATATTAAACAATTTTCGTTAATACCGTTATATTAAATAACTTTTGTTAATTTAATGGTGACAATTTAGAATAAATGAAACCATGGCGAAACCTCTGTTTTTAAAACCGGACCGAGACCCGGCAGCTTCTCCGGTTCAGGTTTTAGGGGAGTTTTATAATATTTCAAAATTATAAAGGTTAATTGTAATTTTATAGGGATGTTTTAGAGATATGTCAAAAGTTTAGAGATTAATTAGTAATTTTTTTGCGGCATTTTAAGTAAATATAAAGTTTAGGGACTAATTTGAACTTTTTTAGGAGAATTTTTGTAATATATTAAAATTTAAAAGATTAATATGTAATTTTTTAAAAATAAAATTATCGCTGACATTATCGGTCCAACCGATTGGACCGGTTGACCCGTGACCCAAGTAACAAAACGAGTTATCCTTCGATCCGGGTTTTAAAACAATGGGCAAAACTTGCCATTTCGCTTAATCATTGGGTGGGAACATGCCATTTACTCTTTAATGAAATTGAGGTGCAAAGATTTCGGCAGTACCAAAATCAACCGATTAAAACGGAAACCTACATATCACAGTAAAGGAGATCCTCAGGTCAAGCGAGGATAATTCTGGTAGAAAACTTACTACAAAAACTGTCAAACAGGCAAATTGAACGTAAAATTCAACTCATGTCATAGGTGACCTTGAGCCCAGTGGTCAAGGAAGCAACATGACGTTGATTTCGATAACAAATAGAGGTCGTGTTCATTTCGTTGAATATGTTATAGTCATATACATATTGGCATACAACTGATTTATCAAACTTTGGTCCCTTGTCTAAGATTTTGGGCTACTGGCTGAATTAGAAATTCGAAATATAGCAAGGGCGAAGTCTACATAACGCCAAATGGGTGAGGACAGCAATCTGCATCATCCTTCATTCAAACTATAGAAAGAATAATCTCGAAATTAGACATCTTAATTAATATAACGAGATTAAATAAAGAAAATTAGTATTCAACAAACACAGTCAAATAGGTGGAGGCGCCTCTCATTACGAAATTGATACAATTATTAGTCTGATCAACATCAACCACTCCTACTTAGCACATTCCGAAGCAGTTGGATTAACATGAAGATTAGTTAGCCTTGTCCAGAGGGTCAGAAAAGTGGTAGACGAGAATTTCCTAGTACGCAAAGAAGACCACCAAGTTCAATCATGAGCTGAAGCAGATAGGAACATTAGAAGAAACACAAGAGTTTCAATTATCATACACTATCATCCTTTTTCTAAACCAACACAAACAGGTGTAAGACAAGGAATCACAATAAACAACCACTACCCTCACCAATTTCAAGCTGAGAGATATTTAAATAGAAAAACTCAAAATAAACAGTTGAAAAGTTGTCCAAACTTTTAATAACCTTCTCCAAACGATTATTTGCCCCCAGAAGACACGAAATAAAGATTTAACTAACGCTATACATAAATGTTTCTTAATACAATACAATACATTCAGACCAATCATTCTATTTTAGCAGTGTTATCCAGATTGTCACCAATTCCAACTTCAGAGAATAACACCGATTAACAATTCATACTGGGCTTATTCATGAAATCCAAAAGTCCATGACAGTATTAAAAACTAGATCACCATTTTGTACAAGCCAAACATGATCTCAAAATACAAGATTCTTTCCCCAAAAAGGAGTGCGAGCTTCATAATACCTGATCTAATTCATGCTAATATTATTAAAAAATATATATAATTCATCTCATAATTCACTCTTTAATCCTGCAGCATCCTATTCAATCTCTTTTCTCACAAATAATCAATATAGCCATTTGCATATAAACCAATCTATCTAGTCCTAATAAGAAAAGTCAGGTTAACAGAAAATGTAATCAGAACTCCAAACTGACAACATTCCTCCAAGAGCCAAATAATCAAGCAATCTGGTTAAACCACCAAATTCAAGCTTACCGAAGGTTAAGTTCTGGTTCATGTAAGTTCAAACATGAATAATGATGGCATCAACACGAAAGGTCTTACTCTTCTTATATGTATCCTGATGCATGTATAAGGTACTGTTTGGGCCTAACAATTAACCATTAGATCTTAACCTTAACACACAATGCAAGAAGGGACAGCAAATTCATTAATATACCTCAAAAGAATGCAATGCAATAACTGAATACCTATGTATGAGAATTTATTTTACAAACAAAAATAAAATTTTGATGGCTAACAATACAATCAAATGACCAGAATTGGAAGGCCTTATCGAAAGCCAAATAGAGTTAGCAATGAACCTCTAAAAGATATGCCAATCACAATCAGCAGTGGTAAGGGAAAAAGACCAAGAATCATACATTAAGCTCCGTCCCAAATCAGCTCACATCCCTGAGTCTTTTTATCATAGCATCCAGAGATTTCTTCTTAGGATTCTGCCTGGCTCCCCTGCTTCCAAAGGTTCCAAACAGCCGATCTGAAGGATCCCTCAACTTCTCTGATATTGTCACTACTTTCCTGTAATCCAAAGTATTGTAGCTCCTCTCCCTAATCACTGGATTCAGAAAATTCTCAGGGTGATTGCTCAATAACAAATTAGTCAACTGCCTTGACTCAGCAAGAGCTGTTTTCAACTGATTTGCATCCCCGTCTGTGAACAAGGGAGCTAGATTATCAGCAAAAGACTCCAGAAGTCGAACATCTACATCCATTCCCATGATAGCATTTATATTAAACCTCTTAACAGAATCACCATATAATGCCCCTACAATGGTCTCTGATATGTGAGAAAGAACATCTTGTAGAACCCTTCTAAGAACCTGAGCGGGCAATATTTGTTGTGCAGTAGAAACGAGAGTCTCCAAATATATTATGACCTCATTTACATATTCATTGCCATTCTGTACGGGATCATCAGCCATCCAGTTCACATTCTCAATCAATGTCATGAAACCATCAACCTTTGTTTTAAGCAACCCAGACAGCATGTCCTCGGCAGCATCACGCGCTTTGTTTAGAGGGAACTGCCTCCTACTCCTCTCTGCCATTCTCAATGGAATTCCTGAAAGCTGTGCAGCATGACGAAAGAAAAAATCGCAAGCGCGCTCTAAAACAGCCATATTAGCTGCAACTTGCATTGCCTGAGAAACCCCATGAACAGATGTATTAATAAGTTTCATAAGAGCCTCATCCAAAACTTCAGCCAAAAGCCTATCCAAATACTTTTTAACAACATCATAGAAATCCAGCTGCCCACCATGCGACATGAAACTCACTGAGTCCTCAATGAAGGACCGCACAATCCTACAACAATCAGGCACCGTAGACGAAAATGGCGCAACATAAGGAAATGCAGGAACAATATCCGATGTCTGAATCTGAAATGAAAGCACATTCATAGAATACTCATACTCTTTCTTCATCAACATTTGCTCAAACTTATCAGCAGCAAGGGCTTCAGCAATCTGTTTACGACAATCTGACAACAATAACTCGTGATACTTATCCCTATGTTTACTCAAAACATCAAGCAAAGCATCAACTGGGTACCCATATCCGCGCAATGTGACACCCAACAAACTCACATAATCCTTAATCAGAAGGAGATGATTAGCAGTTTGCATTCTCGAAAACTGATCCTCCAGTACTGAACACATTTTACTAACAGCTGCATCCCACAAATTCTCAACTTCAATTTTAGATATCAAATTACCACCGGTCCTTAAAATTCGATCTTCAACAATAAAAAAACCAGCAATTTGGGCGAAAAATGTTTGATGAGATTCTAAAAACGGAGTCATTGAGGATACCTGAAAATCAGACGTCAATTGAAGCTTCCGATTTTCAAAATAATATTGCTTAAATCGATCTTCAAGACCTAATGTTTGGTGTAAATGATAAGCCCTATAAAGAGGAGTCAAATCAAACCCTAACAGACCAGAGACACCGTTACTATCACTTTCAACACCGTTGTTAAATCCATCTTCGTCATCCTCGTGTAAAGCGTAAACGCAGTCACGCAAACTGAGCCGACTCTGTTCCTCAGCTTGTCTCTGCTTGATTCGTAAATCCTCTTCTCGTTGCCTCGCCGAAGAAGCTTGACCGATTGCTAATTGACCTAAATTTCGACATACTACACGGATCTCAACTAGCCAATCACCAAACTCCTTGTTTACCTTTCTCTCGATATATGTTCTAATCGCTGGAATTTTCTTTTCTAACATTCTTTTTAAAGTAGACGAAGGCGTTTTATCTAAGAACTCATTCTCCATTGCATTTGTGCACTTCAAAGCCATGTAAAAGTTGTTGCTTGAAAGATGATGATTTGCTCGTGAACAAAGCTCCATCAGTTTCATACAAGACACAATTGATTTCAGCGCTAAGTCAACATTTTTCGAAATATTTTGCGCTTCTACGTACGAGTCAAGTGAGGATAGGAGCGGACCAGCTACAGACTGGAGTTTTGAGTTTGAATCGGAGAGAGCCGATTTGAGCGAATCGACATCAGAGAGCAGAGATCGGAGATCATCAACGGCCATGATGAAGTCTTGGTAGTGGGCCTTGCAGACTTCCTCGATTTCGGATTCTTTGGATCGGGCGAACTGGCGCAAATGGTGGAGGAGTGTCTCGGGCTTTCCTGATGCAAAGGCTTTGCGAACAAACGACCCTAAGTCTTCGCCGTTGCAGATGGCGGATGAGAGGAGAAGTTGGTCCAATTTCTCGGCTGAGTCACCGCCGTTTGCGGTGGCTGGAGCCACTTTGCGGCGGGTCCTTACTGACTGCATCGTTTCAGAAACGTTTCTACAATTTCGATTGCCGAGAAAAGCGATGTATATTTAGGAAAGATGAGATGAGAGAGGGAGGGAAGTATTTGGACATGCAGAGATGTGTCAAGGTTGGAGGTTAAGTTTTTGTGTTGACGAGAATGACACTGTATACGTGGGGACTTGCTGAGGTTGAGTCTGTGATTTGACGGGTAAAGTATGGGTAGTGAAGTAATTGCACAGGCGGGAAACCTTGCGAGGGTGAGAGATGACTTATTTGACTTTCCATTACTACCGTGTTAAATTGACGGCGGTCTAGCCGGAAGTCTGCGATATTTGGGAAGTGACAAACGGAGACTTTTCTAATCTACCGTAGCAAAAAAAATAACGTTGCTACATTTAAAATCTAATACGTGGGAAATTAATCCCTTGAATGACCAATATTTATTTAATGCAAATAATAAAGAAAATAATTTTTTAAAGTTTGTATCTACGATTATAATTATATAAAAGATATGTACCAAATATCCATACTATGAATACGGTAGCTTAACTGAATTGGATTAACATCTAAAAATAATTAGGACCTAAAGAAGTTATAAACAAAAATACTAGTTACATTGAAGTACATTAATAGTCTTAACATAAGTATTTCTACTCTAATCCACTCTTATTAGACTCGTTAACTTAATACATTTACATAGGTGGTTGAAAAATAGTCTATAACAAGCATTTGNAAAATACTAGTTACATTGAAGTACATTAATAGTCTTAACATAAGTATTTCTACTCTAATCCACTCTTATTAGACTCGTTAACTTAATACATTTACATAGGTGGTTGAAAAATAGTCTATAACAAGCATTTGTGTTCGGGGCGGAAGAATGTCGGGCAAGGGACCTCGTCTGTAGACTCGCTGCACATTTTGATAAATAAAAAACAGTACTGCCAAATATTTCTTGAATGAAACTCCTAATGGATCTGTTATTCGGTTATAACCGAGATCTCCATAATTGCATATACCCAAGAATAGTACATGTTTATACAATGCGTGGGACTGGGTGATGCAATTAGACGAAGCAAAACAGTATGTGTGACCTGGCACATGGACCACTTATGAGCTTGATTGTTATCAATATGAGTTGTATGATTGTATCAATTTTATTTTATTTTTGGTTTCAATCACATACCATTAACCACAAAAAACCAACTATCAACAATTCCAAAAGCAAGAACATACGGCAATTAACATTTAGCAATTTCTCTTATATTTCTTTTTATATGTAAAATTTTAATAAATTAATACAATTTCATTATTTGTTTTTCATAGTTGAAGTGGCAATGTCGAATAGATAGGTTGAAGAGATATTATGAAAAACATTAGCATCAACCTGGAAAACAATATCTTTGAGATTTTTCAAGTTGGTGCTAACGTTTTTTAGAATATTTTTGAGTTCAACTTGTCTATCCGACATTGCCACTTCAATTATGGAAAAAAAACAATGAAATTGTATTAATTTATTAAAGTTTTACATATATTGATATCATAGTAAGTGTATAGAAAGAAATATATGAGAAATTGCTAAATGTTAATTATCTTATGTTCTTGCTTTCTTTGCTTCTAGATTGTCCATGGTTGGTTTTCTATTTGTCATTGGTTAATGGTATGTGAATGAAACAAAAAAAAAAAGTGAACGTGCACGACTTGTTGAATGGAATACGGTTTCTATTTGGTTATCTTATATAGATATAAATATTATTGAATGACTTTTCATAAACAAAGAATATGAACAGGCAAAAGACGAATAGACAATTATTTGTTAAAAACACACTTAATCTTGATGTTTAAAACAACTCTTCGGGTAATGTGCAGCGGGATTGGAATAGTTATTTATTTAATACAAAAGTTAAAAATAACTTCAAAACTACATTATGTAATCAGTGTGTTTTTAAGTGGAAATAGATATTTAATATGAATATAACTTTTGGATTATCAGTAATATAGAATCAGTAATTAATATCATAATTATATATTGATGTCTATGTATTTATCTATATTTAATTATTAGTTCTTTTTAGTTTTTCAAAGAATATGTGTACAAAATTTATGCAATATAGTTAGTCATATATAACTTCTTATTAATAATGAATTAGATATAAACGTTATAAAATCTATATTATAAAGAAAGAATTATAATAAGTTGATTGATTTAAGAATTGTTCAATATTTCAGAAAAAAAAAAATTGTAACAATTTGTTGAACAATGTCATATTATGGTAAAGTATTATTCTATCTGATGTTCTAATTATTAGATTGTTATAAATTTGTGATTAAATGACTGTTCCCTCCCAAGGTTTGGTGAATCTACAAGTTCCCACAATTGGTTTCAAAAATTCCAGTCTTTCCAGATTCCCACAAGTAAATTAACATTTTTAGGGTATGAAATAGTATAAAATATGTTATTACCAAACTACCCTTTAACTTGTACTTTTGATTGTGGTGGCTAAATATCATAAACCTCCCTGGAAGATAGAAGCTTGTCCATCGCACCCCTACAAGCTGGGCAAACCCCAGCCACCACAATCGGCACCATAGATGGGCCAAAGCCAAGGCAGTAGAGGTGCGAAAGAGACTAGGATCGGCACCCTCACCCTCGCCTGACCGATGCCCACCAAGGCGACGAGATTTCTCAATTTCAGAGACTTTTCCTCTCACCCGCCGCTCCTAGGCCATTTCCGGCTGATTCCTACATCACCAAGCTCCCCCGTCACCACCATCAGAACCCCCACTCCACAATCACCAAAACTCCTCACACTCCCACCCCAATGCACCCACAAATCACCGGCCGATAGCCCCTGCAATCTCCCGCGATTCTCCAAGTTTACAACTAGATTCTGGCTGGTTTTGACACCGAAAATACCCATTTTCACAACCATTCAAACCCCCAATCCTCTCCTCAACAAAACCCACGCCTCCATTGGCCTCCCCTACTCGCCGTTTGCTATCCACGAGCTGCCAAGTCGTGTTTCTGTCGCAGGGGTGTGATCATCATATTTCAAACTTAAGATGTGGAGGGTGCTTGTGAGAGAAGTTTGAGATATGAACGGTTATTTTGAAATTTTTATTTTTATTTCAAATTTACTGTTATGTAAATGACCAATTTACCCTTTAACAATTAAATTAAACCATTTTCTATTAATTTAAGGGTGGGAATGTGAAATTTATGAAACCAGGGGTGAAAACTTACAGATTTGCCAACCCTTGGGTGGGAACATGTCGTTTACTCTAAATTAGTTGAACAACGTAATGTTTATGACACCAAGAAGCATAAGCATTCAATATTGTTATTCAGTCTTACTATAGAGTTTGAAATCAGCTCCATTTAATTTTTGTTCTTTTTTTGTGAATCTGTTGAAACAGAGTAAGAAGCGGATTTGAGATTTGGTTTTAGTTGAGGAGCACCGACTTTAGCTATCATTTTGGGAGTATTTATTTTGATCCCACATGACCGTGAATCTGGTAATCTTTAGATTTCTCCCTTCATTTTCACTGATGCAAGTGTTTGATTGTGTATGTGTTCCATGATAAATTTGTGTTTGTTTGTTCGATGCAGATTATTCGAAAATGGATCACTCAGTTGTTAACACTAAAAATAATTGTTCACACTAAATATAAGGTATTTTTTATCTTGGGAACTTTAAAAAGTATTGTTTGGATTGTTACATGTTTGATTTTGAAGCTGATTCTGTAGTGTTTTACTTGCGTAACTTTACTTTGCATGATAAGAGAACTGATTGTTGGATAACCACTAAGAACAAGGCATCGTCTTTGTATTTGAATGGTGTTAATATGTCTGTCTTTCACATTTTTTGGTTGATATTTGGGACGTGGCTGCAGGTTTTGAGCGTTGAATCTGATCAGAAGAAAACAAACTAAAGAACTTCGTCATGGCAGCAACAAGGTGACTTTCCCTTTCCTTCATTGTCTCTTTCAAATTTCTTTTCTATTTTATTTTCAAGATTAACCTGAATGGTAAAGGTGCAGCAACAAACCATATAACATAATTAAATTGGTCCATTCATTATTATGTTCTCTCCATGTTGTAGATATTCAGCAAGCGAAACCATTGGAGGTCGTTGTCGGTACTTGGTAGGAGGATGCAAGCAAGTGCAAGTTGGAAAAAAAGGGGCAGAAAAAATAAACTGACAAATTCATCAGAGGAGAGTATTGTTATCGATCAAAACAGCCAGTTCAACAGTTCATACTCTTCATGTTGTAATGTCGCTTGTGTACAAGTTTTCATAACGCAACTCATTCAAAAACATAGTTAGGACACATGTTTCGTATAATTTAATTCAATATATTTTCTTTATATGCAACATTCTCCTTCTACCATTTAATGGAAATGCCCTGTTGGATGTATTTTTCATTTTCATTGTCATGACCAAAAAAGTTAAACCATTTGTAATTGTCCAGTAAACTACATTTTCATGCAGTTTTCCAATCTCGATGAAACAATAGAAAAGGAAAAAAAAACTGCATAAACTGAATTTTCATGGAGTTTTCTAATTTTCCTGCACAAATGCAACACTGCAGCAACACAAATATGCAGAAAAAGCCACAACATCACACCACCAAACTTCCAGCAAACTCCCATCAACACAACCAACCAAAACAAGTGCAACCAGAGAAGAAACGCAATAACTGATGAGCTTAGTCAAGCTCATTGCATAAAATAAGAACAATATCATCCCTTTTCATTGCGTAATAATGGACATGTTCGTATTTATAACAGTTATTGGACACAAAAGGCCAAATACAATATTTCCAAGAGGCCCCTATGACCGTTGGATCTTAGTCAAGATTTAATTAAATATCATGAACATAATACAATGACCACGTAGCATTCAGGTACCAAAAAATGCTACCAGAACTGCAATTTCTATTGAGCATATGATGTATAAACATATATAAATCATTAACAATGCAACTCACTGATGCATGCTAGCAATCTAGCACTCATCACAATAAATCATTAACAATTATTTTTAGTGTAATCACTGTTTCCGAAGAGCAAAACAAAAGGATAAACAACTTCAGCTTTAAAAAATAATAACCTGTGAAAATGAAGGGAATTTGGATAATCCGAGA